ACTCGATTGAAGAGAACCTGTCCCGAGACCCGTCACAAGGAGTTTGACCTGTGGGGAGATGCCTCTTGGGACCAGCCACAACCCCCGTGGCAAGTGTGAAGCCTTTTCTAGAGACTGGTCGAGCCCCCGTACCCGGTATGAAGCCTCTCGTCCCTGCAACTTATCAAAATTAAATAGTTTTACCCTAAAAATCTTAAACCGATTTCTTGGACCCCAAAACCTATAAATACACATTCTAAAACCCTAAAATCGGTGTCTCTTCATCGTGCCTTTTCTACAACACCTAAGGACGACCAGAGAAGCTACCGGCTACCCTCTTGCTCGTCGAACCCTTTGAAAATCACCAAATCTCTTCTTTTCTCTTCTTTGTTACTAATATCTATAAGGAAGAAGTTCTTACCTCTTGTATTCAACATTAAAGACGTAATCTCTAAACCTTATTTTGTTCTTATTCGCTCTATGCGTATGAGTTTATCAAACCTTGCTTTGATGGTCTCTTTAACCATGCTAGAGTAGTTTACTAGTTGGGTTTAAAAGGATAATCAAAGGGAGGACATGATCAATTGTTTAGGTGGCGATATTTAGGGTTTTGTTTGATCATTTACACTGTTATCTTTTTACCTAAAGACCATTGGCAATGTCAAATAAGTTTTTACAAAACAATGTCATTTTTTATAAGAAACTTTTTAATTAATACGAGGGACAAAAATGTTTATATAATACTTTTAGATTAAAATTGTAATGTCTTTATTCAAGTGGTTAAGTCCAATTGACTCTATCTTTCCCACCGGACTTCAATTCCACTAAGTCGAGTTACACCGTATAGTAGGGATTGAGTGTGGAGCGGGCCCTGTTGATCCAAAGATATAAAAAAAAAATTAAAACTGTAATGTAATATATAGCGTTTGATATTTTACTAACATTTATAAAGAAAACGTTGAGTAGAGTATTAACTATTTTGTAACATAAGTAAAACGATATATAAATACGACACTATCTAATCTTAATAACTTGCAAATAGAACCCAAGGCGATTAACAAAAAATATCCAACGTTTAAGAAAAAGAATATATAGAAATTTCAAATACAAAAAAAAAGGAAAAAAAAACACGATGAAAACAATCGTTTGTTTCTTCATTCTTTTAATATTTGTTACATCATGTAAGTTTATTCTAGTTAATTAGGAATAATGTTTTATATAGTTTAGTAATTTTTTTTTGTCAAAAAATAGTTTAGTAATATTTTCTAATATTCTTTTAATATTTTTATAGGTATATCGAATATCATGGCAAAATCTAATTTAGAAAGAAATGCAGAAAGTCCTTACGTTCACGTCGAAGAAAGTCCTTACACTGAACTCGAAGCTGAGTTTTGTCTTGGTAGCTGTAGATATCATTGTATGAAAATGATGAAACTCGTTCATAGTTGTAAAAACTTTCAATGTCACTGTTATCCAAATGATCGTATGTAATAACAAAATAAGTTTTTAAAGTGTATTAATCCAAATGTATGGAATATATGCACCAAGCAAGCTGAAAGTTTATGGCAAGATATTGAGTCTAATGTAATGGACACATTTATGCAAAATTATGACAAAATGTGTTTTATTTAAAATTACTTTCCAAATTGTAGAATCATCTTTGTATTAGATCTCTTCGACTTCTTATTCACATATTTAATTGTTTCACTATATTACATTTTTCTCTATTCTCAACGAATTTTGATAGATCCTTCACCCTTCAGCTAACCATGGAAAGTGGAAGTTGGAATTGTATATATTCGTTTATCTTCAATAACATTATACAAACGAAACGAAATAAAACACTTCTTCAGCAAAAAAATGTAAAACCATGGAATAACAATTTGGTTGCAGAATATATCAAAAGCAGTGGTGTGCGGCCCTGTTTGATGGCTCACACTGTTTGTCTTCAAAAGGAAAACAAAGTATAACCATTTATTTGTAGCTTGGATTTTCTTTGCCCAAAAAAAAAAAAAGGAAAAAGAAACGAGCCTTCAGCTTGGATTTTCTTTCTCTCATATACTTTTTATTGTACTAATATTTATTTATGAACTTTGCATTCTCTAATTTTTTTTTAGTTTGACAAAAAAAAATTAACATGCATTCTTTAATTTTTTTTATTTCAACAAGTGACATAAAAAAAAAAAGAATAACTAGCCAACTAGAAATCGATAGTTTACAAACTGGCCAAATATATTAGAAAATCAAAATATTAACAAATCCTTTTGCACTGTAAAATCTATATAATAATAATAATCCGAATAAATGTCTTTCGCAGATGTGAACAGTTGTGTGTTTTTATCGTAACCTTTCGTTAATTTTTTTTTACAAAAAAAAGTATTTTACAATTTTTTTTGTTAGAAAGTTACAATCCAAATAAATGTCTCCTACGGTTATATCTTTTTTTTTTTATTGTAACTCTTCATAAACGGTTACAACTGTTAGTTGAACTGTTGCAACTTTTAGTTTATTTCACGAACCATTACAACTTTTGGTTTATTTTATAAATTGTTATAACATATATTTATTTACTTTGAAACAAAAAAAAATATTTTATGGTTGTCTTTGTTTAGAAAATTGCAATCTGAATAAAATATCTTTTACGATTGCTTATTTTTATCGTAACTTTTTATAAATGGTTGCAACCCTTTAGTTGAATCATTGCAATATTTAGTTTATTTTACGAACAATTGCAATTTTTAGTTTATTTTATAAATTGTTCTAACATTTTGTTTTATATAAATTTTTTAACTAAAAATTATATTTTCCGTTATGCTTGTAGAAATTTGCAATCTGAATAAATGTCTTCTATGGTTGTTGTAACGCCTTGACCGCCATCTTTTTTAATGGGTCCCACGTCCTCTCTTGGCTTGTGGGTTCACTATCTTTCGACGGTTGGTCAGCTACGTCCGAGAGCCTTTAAATACTTGTTTACCGACCCTACAATGATCACATGATCTTTCTCAGTGTTTTGGTCTCACTCACACGGCTCCGACAATCACTTCCTAAAAAGTCACCCATCTTGAAATTGTTCCATCTTGAAATTGTTCCATCTTGAAATTGTTCCATCTCAAGCACGCTTAACTATGAAGTTCTCTTAGGACGTTTGACCGAAAAGATAAGTGCATTTTGCTGACATAGGTGACTAAATCAATTATTTCATCATGTAAGTTCTCAAGTTTATTCTCGGAAACTAGGATAAATATGTATGATTTTTCGTATTTTAAATATTATCTGTTTTCTTTCTCTTAATATTTTTACTACATGTACATCAAATATCGTGACAAAATCTAATTTAGAAAAAAATGCACAATATTTTAAGCATGCAGAGAACCCTAACGCTAACCTGAAGCTGATTTTTGTCATAAATGTATACGTTATTGTCTGAGGAGGCATAACTTTGTTCGTAGTTGTAAAAACTTTCGTTGTTATTGTTTTCCCCGATTTGATGAGGGTGGCTAATACAAAGTATTTACTAAAATAAAATAATTTTTAAAAGTAATTCCGAAAGTTTATGGGACCTGTTAAGTCAAAAGTATGACAAATTGTTTTTTTTTTTTTTTTTTTTTTTTTTGTCAACCACACGTTAATTAATAAATAACTCCTTGGTTGGTTGCCCAACTAGGAGGAGTAGTGTTTACAAAAGTAACTTCAGAAAATAAAAGTCTAGAAGATCGGGCTAAACAGTCCGCTTTAACATTACATAAACGAGAAATAAGAGAAAGCGAGAACAAGGGAAAGTAGACACGGAGCAAACCAAACTCATCTAGCAGATTGGAGAAAGCGGGCCAATCTTCAGGTGACTGTATCATCGAGACTAACTCCGAACAATCTGTTTCAAACACCTGACAAATTGTTTTTTTTTGGGAGATTTTAATAAATATACTAAATTTTATAAGAAATTTGAAAAACACACTCAATTTAATAGTAAATTTAAACTTTTAGCAATTAAAAATTGAATGTAATACTCTTTATATTTATTTAATAACTATTAATGCTAATTTAAAATAATATAAATTAATTTTAAACTAGTTAAATTTAACTCAAATTCGTAATTAATTTTTTCTTGTTTATAAAATTAAGAAAAATTATTTACTATGTGTAGAATAATTATAATATTTGAATAAATAAAATACAAAAAATTGTTTTAATTCTATTATTTGGATTTGTAATTTCAAGTGATTCAAAATAATATAATTTATTATAAATAAAATAATAATATAATTTGTTTTCTTCGATATTATTAGGTAGACTTATTTCATTATATGTTGGTTTATTAAGTACTTCGATTTTTTGAATTATCTACTTATTTTTTATTTATGATGACTGAATTTTCTTCTCCATCTATGTATTTAAAACAGTCAACTTATATTTGGCTTGTTGATTTATGACATAGTCGGTTTTTTGAACTATTGACTTAATTTTTTTTGTTCATCGATTTATAGTTTTTTTCTGTCAACTTTTTTGTTTATGGTAGATTTAGTTCATTCTACGTTGACTTATTAATAATGTCAAGTTTTTTAACTGACGACTTATATCTCATTTTCGTCGACAAAATTTATTTTTGATCGACTTATTTTAAAACGATTGACTTATATCTAGCTTGATTGACTTTTGGGACATTTGCATAAATGCTCCTTTTCTTGTTCTCTTTTTTTACAAAGTATCCCATTTTATTGTTTATATTCAAAATTAACAAAATTACCCTCGTTTATGTACAAAATGACTAAATTACCAATTTTTTAGTGACAGTAGATAATAGAAAGTGAAATTTTACCGCAAAAAAATATTTTTGTCGACAAAAAAATCCACAACATGAAATTTGATTTCCTGCAATTCTTTAAAAAACCATGTAAATCATAAAAAAAAACCATTGTAAATCTTTTAAAAAGCCTTTAAAATCCTTGAAAAACTCTTGTAAATCCATTTAAAATCTTTAGAATGTAAATCTTTTTAAAACACTTGTAAATTCTTTTTAAAATCCTTCTAATTTTTTTTTATAAAATCTGTGTAACTCTTTTAAGGACTCAGCTTATAAAACACTTGTAAATTCATTAGAACCCCTTTAAAAACCCTTGCAAGTATTTTAAAGTCCTTTTCAAACCCTTGTAAATCATATATATAAAAGAGGGCACAAGCAATATCAATAAATTGCTACAAACCCTCCAGATTGCTTCTGCTTTAGACTGAGAAAAAGCAATCCCTTGCCATAAATCCTGCAAAAAAGTTTTAAGTGATTGAGGGCACAAGCAATATCAATAAATTCTGCAAAAACGTTTTAAATGATTGAAGTATTATACCCATTTCCTAAAGTTCTTTGGTCTCCGTGACAGTGTGAAACGAACAAGAAGAACCATAGTCATGACAACAAGTAGGATTGGTTTGAGCATCTCCAAGCTTGATGATACACCACCAAATGTATAGAAATCAGAAATCCTTGAGAAGATCCCCCCATCGCCGAGAAAATCAACAAGGTAATCCCATGATTTTTCAAGAACACCAAGGAAGATGCCAACAAAAAGTTTGAGGAATGGCTTTGCTATAGGCCAAACAACATAAACTGTAGTGACAAAGGCGAAACTAGTGACTGCAAAAACAGCTGAGGCTAAGAATCCTCCAACAACAACTGCCGCTGCAGCAATAACTGCTGTCACCATTCCTAGCTCAACCATCACTCTACTTGATATAGAAGACGCGACTGGGTTTGGGAAATCCGCCACTTTTCCAACCCAAGACTGCAAACAAACATTATAGCAGAAAACTAACTCAATTACAGAACACAATACATCTGTTTGTCAACCTAGTGAATAGATTCTGAACAATTCTCAATACAAAAATATAGAGGACATTAGATTATATAATCTAGTAGAGAAGATCCAAATGAACAAAAGAGTGATCACCGTCATGTGCCTTTCTATTTCGTACTGCGGACCGGTGTATTCTTTCAGAAGAGCTTGAGCTTCTCCAACTTCAAGCTTCATTGACCTACCAAGAAACATATCAATAAGAAATCAAAGCAATTTTCTCCATACATCAAAACTAAAACCATTTCTCTTCTTCTTAATCCTAGTAACTCACCATTTGGTTCTCTGTAAGCTCTTGACTCCAGGAATCTCCTTAAGATCAACAATAAAATCTCTATAGCCGCTAGTGTAAGGAACACCAGAAACTTCCTTGGAAGTCAGCAGCTTAACTTTATCATTCTCCATAGCTTTTCTAAAATCTTCCAAGCTCAAATTTGGTAAATCTTTCACAGTTTTCTCAAACTCCTCTTCTTCAGATAACTCTGGACCAAAAACTTGCTCAGGAACATAAAGCTTTCCCTTGTATTCCCTCAAAATATCACTCAAATAAACAGACTCTTGGCTTTTCTCTGTCTCTGTTTTCGTTTTCGTCTTCGAATCAAACTTCTTTTTGATAAATTCAAACGCACCCGTCGCATTGGCGCCTTTGCTTAAACCCTCTCTCTCCTTCAGATTATACAGCTTATCTCCAACTCGATAACGAGGTTCCAATTGGCTAGGATTCTCTTTCAAAACCCTAGTTACAAAATCATCAGCAGGTGGGGGACTGCTCGTCTCGTTTGAACGAGATTGCCCAGATTTCAATTCGCACAAAACTGTAAACGAACGACGCAGAATCGGAGCTCTCCATCGAGTTTTCGCGGCGAAACTCGATGTATTCGCGTCTTTCCAGATCGATTTCTTGGGGATACTTGTGGGGAAACGAGTACCGAGGGAGAAGATAGTGTCTATTTTAAGACGATAACCATGTACTGAGAAAAAGATGGTTCACTAGAATCGCATTGCGAAATTAGAATCTCCCTTGGTTCTGGTTCTGGATAAGAATAAGAGCAATCGGAGGTTTATTCAATCTCAGGGGGGTTTTGTTCTGTTAACCTCTAAAGACCACTATAATTTACAACAATTCGCTTCGCCGCTTTCAATCCGACCCGACTTCTAAACCCGGTTTCTGTTCCGGGTTTTTATTACCATTGTCTGTTTTATTGTTCTCTAAAATTATTTAATTCTTTAGTCGGCCACCTTTGCTGCATCACACACACGTCAGTCCAAACTCCGTCTGTGGATGTCGGAATCCGCAATACAAATTTTAAGATGTGTGTCGGGTCGTCTAGCCTTGATAATTCGAGTAACAATCAAGAAAAAGAAAACAAAAGAGTGAAGTGTATGTATCTGTATATTGCTCAAGAATTCGGTCCCCATTACAATGGTTTTCGTTCTCTATTTATAGTTACATGATTCGAAACCGAAGTCGTCTATCAAGCCGCGGATCTCGCCTTTATCATTGCTTCCGTTTCGAATCTTCATGACCTCGCAAATCCCGTGCGACCCGCGTCTCATTTAATTCGCATGATCCCGACGTTTCACCCGAGCTGGGCTGGAGCTTACTGGGCTGTCCTTTTCGTCCCTTGGACTGGGCCAACAATTCATTTCATCTTATTGATCCATTATCTTTCCGGGCCGGATCCGAATTGCGGGATCCGACACCAACAGTTTGCCCCCCAAGTGTTCCGAAGTGAACACTTCGGGACACTTTAAATGCTGAACTTTTCCTCGGGTTCGGAGATTTCGTCGTTAATTCCGCTTTTCCCGGGATTTGGTCCTCAACCGAAGTGACGTTTCGAGATCCTAAGGTATAATTTTTTCCGCGGATCGAGGGATTTTCCTCGGGAAGGTAAAGACGCTTCAAGATCCTAGGGTTTCTCATTTTGCCGCCCAATGACCTTCTATATAACCATTAGACTCTTCGGGTTCTGCAAACGCACACATCCTTATCTTCTTCGAACCGCTTCTGCTCTTCCATATTTAAAGGTAACTCCCTCTTCTCTCTACTTCTATTCTCTTCTTTGATCTTTAACTGCTTTTATAGTTCCGGAATCGTTAAGTAGTCCGCCGTCCTAGCTAGTAATCGTCAGGTTTAGGCCAGAAATCTAAAAGATTTCTTAGATTTTCAGCCGTTTGTCTGAAGATTCCCGCTGTTCTTCTTCCGCTCCGCCGTGTTCTTTGGACTCCGGCGATCCGTGCTCATTTCCCGGAGAACGTCCGCCACTGGATCTTCCTGTTTTCTGGGTTTCTACGAAGATCTTCAGAGTTTGCTCAAGCGTGTTCTTGAGGTGTTCTTGAGCTTCTTTGTTTCCAGATCTTCTGTCAAACTCCAAAATTACCAACATAGTTATGGCTCCGAGGAAGAGCAAGAAAATCCGGAGTGAAACTTTTGTCTTAGAAGGTGACTTCGGAAAGTATTTCTCATCGGATCTCGATGATAAAAAGTTGGCCTTGATGAAAGGCGGCTGCAGGATCCCGCGTCAAATCAATCTAGTAGCTCCGGGGCCCCAGGAGTCCCCAGAATCTCCTCCTAGCGACCACGCTTGCGCTTTCGAGATATTCTTTTCGGAGTGCGGTCTGTCTTTCCCTCTTCCAGGTCTTCTAGTAGAACTTATGCACGAGTTAGGGATAGCTCTTCCCCAACTCTGTCCAAATGTTGTCCGAACTGTCCTGAGCCTTCAGACTTTAGCGGAGGAAAACGGATATAAGATCTCTCTTGCTGACGTCTTTCAACTTTATACGATGAAGAAAGGTCGCACTCCGGGAACATTCTTCCTCAGTCCTCGAAGCCATTTCAAAGTCTTCGGAGATTTTCCTGATAAGGATGAACAGTGGAGGAAATCATACTTTTTCTTCCCCGTTAACGAATTTTCCTATGGTCCGAATACAGGCTTCTTTGTCCGAGATTGGACTCGTCGTCCTGGTTAGATAGCTTTTTAGGGATTGTACTGCGTATTTTTTTCTTAACTTTGCTTTTCAACGAACTAACCCTTTTCCTTTTGTCTTTTGCAGTAAAGTTCCCGAAGAAGCCACTTTCTCATACCTTTGCGGAGCAATTCGTAAAGATTTGCAACCGCAGCGACCTCACGTGGGAATTGTTCACCTGCGAACGCATCCGAAATTCGTGTGCCCGAATCTACTCGCGGTCCGACCTCATTTCTTCCACCCCTCCCTCATCCCCTGCTGTTGCCACTAACATGTCTCCACTTTCCTATCGCGAAGAGAAGAAACTCCAGAAGGAAAGGGAAAAAGCAAGAGAAGCGAGAGAAAAAGAAGATAAGGCCAGGATGGTGAAGGCCTTAGATGATGGGAAAGCCAGATCTTCATCTGGTAAAGGGAAGAGTTCGGGTATCGCAGATCCGGTTTCCGAATCGAAGACCTCCGATCATCGTGATCAGAAGAAGGTGTCTTCGGGAAAAGACGTAATCCGGATCTCGGATTCTCGCTCCTCTCGATCTTCTCGGGAAAAAGAAAACTCGGAAGGAGGCCACACTGCAACCTCCTCAAGGAAACGCAGGAACGAGGAATCTGAAGTTCCTCCCCTTCAACGCAAGAGTCGTTCTCGTCTGAATGACGAGAAAAACCCTTCCGAGGATGCTGGACCCAGTCTGGGGTCGAAACCAGAAGAAAAAGGAGATTCACAACGGGCCCCGGAGTCCGAGCTGCCAACTCAGCTGCTTATCCTGCCTTCGCGGGATTCTGAGAATCGGGAATCCGTTCGTCAGGAGATTCCGATCCCTACTGGTAAGTAGAGTCACTTCGTATTCTTCTAACTCCGACTTCGTTTTGACTTGTTTTTTTATTTTAACAGCTCCTCCGAAGTCACCAGCTGATTTTATGAGGAATTTCACTCCTGTTGGGATGAGGATCCCTCCCTTCAGTGACTTAAAGGAGGTCAACAGAGCGAACTACTTTCGCTTCGCTGATAAACTCGGAGAGGTAATACTTCGAACCTTTCTCCTTACATAAAAGATATATATATATATCTCCTTTACGTCCTCATGAATCCTCGTTTTGTCAGCTAATGCTCGAGTACAACACCACCTTCTCCTGCCACGAGTCCCAGCTCTTTCCTGTTAACGAGCTGGATGGTCTTAGAACTCGGGTTACTGAACTTGAAGACGAGATCCGTCAACTCAAGGAGATGGAGGAAGAAAATGCCAGAGCGGTGGCAAAGGCGAACGAAATCCGAGAGCGAATGCTGGAGGCCGAAGCTCGCTGCAACCTTCTTGAAATTGCCAAGACTGATCTTTCCGAGAAGCTGAATTCCGGAAAGAACATGTACCTTGAGGCATGTGATAAGATTACCTCGCTGGAAGCTGAAGTTAAGCGAAGCGAGGAATGGTGCAAGGTTGTTGCTGAGAAACGAGACGAGGAGCTCGCAGCAGCGAAAAAAGATGAAAGGGTTAGGCTCCGTGAACTCTATAGCGGGCTCACCTCGAAGCATGAGACCTACTTCAAGGCCATAAGCGATAACGAGATGATTGGGACGCGTCTTGCCGAGACTCGGGCGAACCGAGAGCTTCTTGAGGAGATCCTGAAAGGAGAAATTCCGGACATCAAAGCCGAACTAGAGTCGGTAAAGAGAGATGAGGCAGAGGCTGAGAGAAAGGCTCGCGAGGTAAGCGCTCTCAAACCGCAACCAAATGAGTTTACTCATCTCTTTGTAGCGACTCCCCCTGAACCCGAACAAAAGGCATCTCTTCCCGAAGATGATGTCGCCATTGATGAGTTCGGAACTAACACGGATCTCATGGCTGGCCAGGACTTCGAGGCTGCCGTTCTGCCCGAGGAGATGCAGCAGGATCCCGACGTCAAGGATCAGTGATCTGTTTTCGGGGTTGTGATGGCTAATGTGCCCCCCTTTATTGTTTTTTCAATTCGAACCCATTTACTGTTTTTTCCCTTTTGAAGACTTGAATTTTTTACAAGTCCTTTTGAATTATAAATCCGGAGTACTCGAGAAATTTGAATACCTCGTACGAAAAAATTAAGAAATACTTAAGATTTCGACGAGATACGCAGTTTACACGAACTCAGAATTTATTACACAATGGATAAGGGAAATATTAAGAACGAGAGTTATGCGGGTGTTCTCAATAGAAAAGATGAGGATCGGAACTCGGAGTTCGCAGAAATCCCTAGTCTGTGTTGAACCAGACCCTTTTTTGCTAAGTAAAACTTAGGCTTATCTTTCAAGAATTACCAGAGGTCTGAGCTCGGTTTCGAGAAAAGTAATTACGAGGTTCTCTCGGTTTCACGGATTGCGAGATAAATCTCGGCTTTTAAAAGATGTTTAAATAAAAAGTAAACATTTTATTTGATTTAGAGACTGCACTCGGAATCCGAGCTGCCTACGTACCCAAAGGTGGGGATCAAGTCTTTCGTAGTTCGATTTACAATAATGAAAATAATAAAATACTTAAACAAAGTATCTCTTCAGATGAATGGAATTCCAAGCTCTTCGGACTGCTTTTCCTTCCATGTTCTCAAGGCGATAAACTCCATTGCGAACTACCTGAGTGATTCGATAAGGACCTTCCCAGTTGACGCCTAACTTTCCTGCTCCATCTTCGGCTGTATTTTGCTGAACTTTGCGTAACACTAATGTCCCAACATCGAAGTGTCGATTTCGAACGTTCGAATTGTAGTATCGTGCCGCGGCATTCTGGTAGTTTTGCATCCGAATTAACGAACGATCACGTCGCTCTTCGATTGTATCAATCACGTCAACCATCTGTTCATTATTTGCAGCCTCGTTCTGTGGATTGTACATCCTTCTCGGACTTGGCACAAATATTTCAGCGGGAATTACGGCTTCCATTCCATACACTAATGAAAAAGGCGTTTCCCCGGTTGC